GTAAAATGAGTTCCCCTGTCTGAGTCTGTTGCTTCCACAATCCCTTTTCTTGGAATTATTTGTTTTAGAAATCCCTTGATAACTAATCCAGTGATTGCTGAGGATGTCAGATTTGCTTTTGGCACCCTGTTAGCTGCCCTGGTATCAGCAGAAGATTTAAGATTTAAGAAGATTTAAGCCTTCCTGCTCAGGGCATTTCAGTGCCAGGCTTTTACAAACACACCCAGCTCAGCCAGTTATGCTGACCATGGGGGCAGTAACCAGTGCTTTGTCTAATTCCCTTTCGCTAACAATAGCGAGTCTTGAAACTCTTTTCCGTTCTGCTGCCCTTGAGAACCCATCCAAAACCACATTTTCTCCCTCAGTCCAGGGAATGTCTCATAAATCTCTCCCAGCCTGGGTCTGTAGCTCTGTCACTTGAATGCAGTCATGGGTTTCTTCCCAGCCCCCTCTCCAGGCTGTTTAAACAGGAGGCTGGGTTAAACCCTTCCCCTGTCCTCTGTGCCACTGAACAAGTTTCATACTGTAATAACTGAGCTCTGCTCATTCATTTGGAGGCTCTTTTGGTCTACAAAGTCTTTAGTTTGATGCCAGACTTGAACAACAGGAGATCCTCCTGCCAGCAGTTTTTGGGCCTCAGTTCCCATTAAAGTCGTGGCTGCACAGTTCTGAGACAATGAGGCCACTCTGGCCACTGGATTAAACATTTTAGCACAAGAATTCATTTGGCATGGCCCTGTTTAACATTCACATACAATTAAAATTTCTTTTCTGATTCTGGAAGAGCCATGGCTGGGGCATCAATAATTTTGTTTTTTTCATTTTCTCAAGTTTTGTTCTCTTTCTCAAGTCCATACATCAACATTGAAGCTATCTGGGGTTAAAAAGTCCTACAATGTTCTTGCAAGAACAGAGAATCCTCAATCCAGGTCCTGCAATTCCCTAATAATCCTAAAAATCGTTATAGCTCCTTTTTAGTGCATTACTTCTGAGATTTCCCCAGACCCTCTCCGGGTCAATTCACCACAAACTTTCAGTCAAAATAGGACCTAAATATTTAGCCTTTTTCTCCACTATTTGCACTTTTTTTTTTCCCCAAATACTCAAAGATACTTTTTAGCCTGAAAATTAAGGCATTGCACAGCAGCTTCTTCTAGCACTTCTTGTCCTCCTTATTGGAGCAAGTCATCCACATCCTGCATTAAGCCAGTTCCTGGGGGTGAGAAAAATTCCTTTGATATTTCCTGCAATTTATTTATTTGCCCGAATAAGGCCAGTGCTTCCGTGCATCCCTGCAGAAGGACTGTCCATGTCTTCAGCATTTTCTCTTCTACCTCTTGTGTACCTCTCACACTCAAAGGCAGAATTCTGTTTGCATCCTCTGTAAGAATACCTGTCCATCAAGGGCTGGACTTGCTCGTGCTGAGGGTGCTCCTGTCTGTGCTTGCAGTGTCCTTGTGCCCTGCAGCTGGAAGGCTGATTCCTTGCCAGGGGCTGTTTGGGTGGGCTGTCCCCTGGCCAGGAGGGCAATGCCTGTGCCAGGTGCTTGTGGCCGAGGGTGTCCCCTGGGTGCTGGGGCCCCCTTGGGCCCTGGGCTTGATCCCTCAGGGGCTGTAGGAACTGTGCCATGGCCTTTGCCTTCAGCTTGGCCTTTGGCTCATCCCTTGCTGCATTCAGCTGCTGAGCCTTTGTGAGCAAGTGCTGCAGGGGCTTCTTCTGGCCCTGCTGCAGCCCCCCTCAGTGCCTGGGGGTGCTCATCCTGTGGCAGCTGCTGAGCTTTCTGCAAAATCCTTCCTTTCTCCAGGGACCCACCAGGAAATGCTTAAAAGATCATGTGGATCCTTGCAGGTCTAATCCCCATTTCTGAGCTGTTCCTTCCTCGTGCTCGCTGTGCTGAGGCTCCCCTCCCCAGCCCGTATCCCAGAGCCGGTCCCTGTCCTGCCGCAGTGTCCAAAGGCGGCCCCCCCGGCGGGCAGGGCCGGCAGCTCCACGGGGCCGGGCAGCGGCCGGGGCGTCCCGCAGCCTCCTGGGGACCGGGGGCCACTGCCGGCCCTGCCCGGGGGGTGCTGAGCCCCGTCCCGGCCCCACAGCTCCCCACAGGCCCCCAGCCCGTGCTCCCGGTGCCGCAGCTCTGCGCCCGCTCCTGCCGCTCCCAGCTCAGAGAAACCCCCTGAAATCCTGACCTCCTTGTTTTCCTGTCCTGGAAATTGGTGATGTAAAGGATCTGGATCAGCTGGCAAATTTTGAGGATAAGACAGTTCTGTAAAATATCTCAGTCCTCACTGTTTTTCTCTTCCTTCTCTTTTCCATCATCATTTTTCCTACCCCATAGATTCCTCCGGCTGCTTCTTGCCTTAACCATAGTCCTGCACACTCCCCTTCAGCCAATCCCTTCCCAGCACACCAACACCATCCATCCCCTGTTGTCTAAATCCCATCTGGACTTCCCTTATTGCCCCTCTGGGCGTTCATGCCCTTAAATATCTTAGAATTTGTAAATGTGCAAACTGCCTCAATATGCTCCCAAGGGATGCCTCAGAGATATTTTGGGTCTATCATCCCTTTTGCTGGGACCCCCTTGTGGCTTTCCCTTTTGTCCCCTCCCTGGGTGCCCTGCCATGTTTACTCCCCGAAGATCCCACTGTAGTCACTGCTGAGATTTTCAGTGCTCTCTCCCTGCCGGCTCTTGAGAGCCCCCCTGATCCATCACTCGTCTGTCTCCTGCTCACTCTCGGGTACCCAGTCAATCCCTGGTGCCGCCGCCAGCCGAGGGAGCCGATCCCCCAAACTGGGTGAGGCACCTTCAGCTGCACTCACTGCCCACTGTCCCAGATGGTGGAAGGAATTGCCCCAAGGTGTGTGGAAAAATTGACATCTCCAGAGGTTTCTGTCTACAAAGAAGACAGAGGAGTCCTGTAATAGTAATTTCATTCAAAAAATAAGGAGAGGCCATGGGATATTTCCCATGGGTTCTCTCCAGCTGTTGGAGGATGCAGCCTCCTTTTCATTCAAATTTTCCTGACCGCATTGTCAAGATGAAGAACAAGGGATGGGATGACTTTGCTTTGAGTTGATTTATTGCTCAAGTAGCCAGATAAGATAATTTGTAAATGGTACAAAAATAATTTCCAATGTCCTCCAGGGAAGTGAAAAAATTATTATTATTTAAGATCCAAATAGTTGAGACTCCAGATGTGCTGTTTAAGCAGGTGAAAGTGTATCAGCTGAAAAGGTTGATCCTTAACATCACTGAATGTTCCTTCAAATCCTGAAACAGGGAGTAACTGAAGAAAATTAGTAGAGACACAACATCATGATAACATGAAACTTCTGTTGGCAAACTGTCTGTGTAGTTTTTCAGACATAATTGTGTTCTGGCAGTTTCACTTCCAGTCTTGTTTTGAGTACTATGGCTGTATGGTGACTTCTGTGTTTATTTGGTCTCATGTTTTCAGAGGCAGTCAGTCTGGTCAGATGAATAGATTACTCTTTTGAACCTTTCAACAAAATATAGGCATCTCTCCCCTTTAAGTTAATGAATCATTTAGGCTTAGCTGTGGTACACTTAATTGTGAATTCAGATTTTATGATATTTTCTACAATTTTTGGTGTAAATATTTCATTATTCAAGATGAATTGTGGTCTAAATTTCTAATGCACGTATTACATTAATCAAATGTTCTTAGGGCATCAATTCCTTTTGCTTTCAAAAGTGAGATGTACTTTTACCATGCATATGAATACCAACACAAAACTATACACATAATGAATGAAAACTTGCAGTAGTTAGAAATTAATTAGATAATAAACACTGTTAATAACATATCTGATATAGAATTATTATTAACCACTAAAACACTGTACCAGCATCTCAGAGTCTGCAAACAGTTGACAGACCTCAAATCAGCGAAGGACTGGGTAACCACCTCTGGAAATGATTCTCCAAGCCCACTTCAAAATTAATCCAGCTGTCATATTAATAGGGTCAAGTTTCCAAGTCAAAAGTGACTCGAATATTGAGTTGGTACAGAAAACATCTGGACTTGTTGGCAAACATTCCATTTAGGTAAAGTCAAGGCTTGGCCAGGCCTGGCTTTAACCTGGAAAGATGCCTCTTAACTCATTTTCAAAACAAGGTTCTTAATAATAGCAGCTATGAGATGCTTAAAGCACAGCAAACTGTTAAAATGCATTTGTGTAAAGGAAATGATCAGAAGTCTTATGCAACAGACCAATCAAACCATTTAGCAGTTGGTTTAATCTGAAGTTTCTCTCATGGTAGCTGACTTTCAGCAATGATAGATTTTTCTGGAATTCTGGAAGCACTGAAAACCAATTAAGCTACAGAAAACAAAACCAGTAAAGATTGTAATGAATAATTAAACCTTGGATGAAATGAAGGGTGCAACAGACTCTATCTTCTTCCATTCACATGCAGGTGTTTATCAGTGTTCCATCACAGCTGTTTCAGTTGTAGTCATCCTCATCTCTAGGAAAATAACTATACTTTGCAATTTAGACAAGTGTCTTTTAACAAAACGGGAGACAATTTATATTTCAAACCTGGTAGAAATTAATTTTGAAAGAAGGAAATAACAAAACTTGACCCTAAAAGAATATTAAGAACACTCAGACCTAAACCTAGTGAAACTTAACTTTGCTTAATTCTATTAACACTTAATCTATACCAAATGAAAACATAACTCAATCTTACCTTCTTATTACAAAAAAAAGGCAACTGAAAGTTTGGTATATAACTTTTGAACATAATAAAACAGCAACATGGATTTACTATAGAGATTATAAAGATGTAACAAATGCATTATGATTTTATGTAATTTGGCCTTGAGAATAACTCATAATAACTGCAAATGTTACTGAAAATACTAATTTGTAGTAGGAATTTGCCTGGTACAAGCTTAAGTTTGTTGGGATTTTTAAAGTACAATTTTACTAGAGAAAAGCCACAACAAAGAAGGGTTTGGCAATTTGCCATTCAGCTTTTGTAGCACTTTGAAGAAACATCAAGTCCAATTTTTAATTAAAATCCTTAGTCCAAATTGGTATATATGCTGTTACATGTGCTTTCATAGCAAAAAGATTCACATTGAAATTACCTTACTGAAATTGTGGAAAAAACAGATAAATGGATAATCTGTGGTTAACTTAACTTTGTATTCTTGTACAGTGAAGTTTTCCTAGCTAATTATTTTTCAAACCATGAATATCTTCTGTAGATAGCATTAATTGGAAGGTCATTTTATTAGTAGCTGTAAATCACTCAGTATTTCAACATTAGGTTTTAAAACTAATTATTGCAAGCTAACTTTTTACTTCTGTTAATATTTACTCTAAACATTTCTAAAGAGGGTTTTTTTGAATTTTCTAAGGGGTCACAATAATTTCTCCAGTAAAACTGTAAAACCGCAAGAACTCATAATTACTTAAAAACACAAAATTAGCTCTAAAAAGGCATATAAAGACATTCTAAGAAAACAGTGAATCATGACTTCTTAACAAACTGGATGCTACCCTGGTGCTTCTTCTTGGAGAGGGATCGGGGGGTGAACTGCCCTGGTTGGCAGCTGTTATCTCTAGAAGGTTCCAGTGTATTCTTCACCATGCCCCATATATACTTGCAGAGGGGAAAGACGGAGAGAAAAAAACCCTCAAAGTTAACTTTAACAAACCCAGTTCTTTCACTCAATATATCTCTTGTTGTTCACAGACAGAGGGAAAAGGACACGACTGTACAAAAACAGGCGATGTTAAGCGAAGAGTCTCTATGAACCAGGTGGTAGCAGTGGTGACCATTGCAGCTTATCAACCTTTAATTACAGTAATGAATCTTGAACTAGATACCATATAGTTAGTGATTTTTTTGGCTATTTTGTCTCCCTTTGAAGCTGCTTGAGCCACCACGGCTCTGCTCAACTGTTTCTGTAATTGCTGATATTTGTCCAGTGTGGCCTTGGAGCTTCTTCTGCAGCGGCTCTGCCATGGGGTGCTTTTGTTCTCTGCACACGCTCCAGCGCTCCCCCATGTCCCCCTGGGTTGGGTGGAAACTGATCTAAATTTGGCTCCTCTTCAAAGGTAAAGTTAATATCTTGCCCCTGTATGTCCACAATCGATTTAAAAACATTGGACATCTCCTTATTTTTTTCTCTCTGACTCTCCCCCCTCTCTCCAAAGGAGGGCATAGCCAAGAATGTTTGCAGTGGGAGGTAAGGATGGCTGCTGCTGTGACACAGGTAGAATTACAGGGCTTGCAGCCTGTGTAGATTGCTCATTAACAATCTTAACAAAAAGCACAGAAAAAGCAGTGAAGGTAGGCGATATCCCGCAGCATTCCAGAGAAATTTCTTAAAGGCAGACTCAAGGTCCATATCAAGCAAATTCCGCTGAATCCAAATGAGAAAGCTCCTTAACTGTTGCTTAGGAGGATAATAACTTTTTCTATTTTTTTCTTTTTTTTTTCCTTTTTTTTAAATTTATAATAAACATCTCTCTGTTGCTTTAAAATTTTACTTCGCATCCTGATACCTCAGTTCTCATGTCACTCGCCCTGGCCAGGGATGAAATCGAGGACCTCTGCCGTCCTCATCGATTGAGTGACTGCATAGGCTTCTTGGTTACTTGTTGGTGTAACCTTTCAGACTAAAGCTTAATTCCCAGGATCACGTTCACTGGGGCTTTCTTGATGCTACTCCTAGTGATCGACCTCATAGAGGCACCATATCGTTGAGATGTATAACGAGGGATGGGACCACCTTGCTTTGAGATGATTTATTGCTCAAGTAGCCAGATAAGATACCAGTCTTGGGGCATGAGATTTAGAAGAGCAAGAAGTCAGCCATAGCTCAAGAACACGAATTTCTTCTTTGCACAGCAATATATAACAATTTGGTCCAATAGACAGTTGACACAAACCTTGTTTTCACTTATTAACCTATCCCCTTTGTTTAATTTTGCTGCACTGTGTCACTCTTTTTAGCCAATAAGCTGACAGGTCACATACTCATACACACCTCTGTTACAGTTTCTAGATCTCTTACCTACTCTGTAAGTCACACTATTACAGTTTAAACCTCAAACAATTTTACCTAATATAATTTCTTACTTACTCTAGTATAGTAATTATAATGATAAGAACATAAGTTTATGATTTCTCTACACAATGTCTGTGTACCTTCATCACTACATCAATCCAAGCTCTTTCCAAGACCCTTCAGCATCTGCAGAAGTTTCTGTTTTTCGGTTTCCAACACCGCATTTCCCTCTCCCTTTCCCCACTGGCTGAAGTACTTAAGCGGTACAGACTTCCCAATGCACCTACTACATAACCCCCTTAATATGCACCCCACCTTTGTATAGCTACTGATATTGATGGCTGTGTTAAGTCTTTGTTGTTCTTCTGGAAGTTCATGAATTTAGCAGGACCTTGGCTGAGCAGCAGTCTGTGTCATCAGTTAATAACATTTTCTGCAACTGATGGCTCCTGTCACTTCCTTATGTCCACGTCCCTTGCCCTATGTCCAATGAGATTCCCATCATGTGTTTGTAAAGAGCCTTTGTTGTTCTTCCTTTGCTGGGGTTCCCCCGTTTTGGGGCCATCCCCCCTGGAGCAGGGTGTCCCCCCTTGGTGCAGGCGCAGGGCTCAGGCAGGGCTGAGCCAATCAGAGCGCGCGGCGCTGATGACTCATCAGTGTCCAGGCAGAGCCGCAGCTGCCAGCGTTGCCCAGCTGGAGCCCAGCTGCGCCCCTCCCCCCCGGGCCTTGGCGCCCCCCTTGAGGGGAATTTGGGGAGGTGGGAGGGGGGAGCGCCAAGGCCGGGCCCCCCCGCGCTGTGGTGGCGGGAGCGGCTGCAGTGGGGAGCGAGTGCGGGCGGAAGCGGCCGAGAGCCCAGCGCTGCCCCAGGCCGAGCTGGCCCAGCTCCATCCGTGCCCCTGCGGTGGGATGCTGTGGGACTGGGGGGGAAGAGGGAGGCGGCAGTGGGTGCTGGGCCTGGGGGCAGGAGG